AGGTTATGATGCGAGCAGCTCTGTTTTGAAGCTTTTGAAGACGTTCTGCTTGACCCTTGTTCAAATTGCTCCAAACAAGGTCGCAGTAGTCAAACGTGGGCTGTATTAATGCTTTATACATTGTAATAAGGGTAGAAATTGGAACAAAATCTCGAATTTGTTTTAAACCGTAGATCGACTTGCCAACCTTCTTACAAATTTGTTCAATATGTGTATTCCAATTTAGGTTTTGGTCAATATAGACCCCAAGATGTTTAAGTGAACTAACTTTCTTGATGCCTGAACCATTAATCTCTATAGGTGCAAAACTGCCAAGACTCGAAATTTTAAATCTAGAGCCTATCAACATGTATTCAGATTTTACCACATTCAGACTAAGTTTGTTAGCCAATAACCAGACACTGATCTTCCTTAAATCAGAGTTAACCTTTCTTTGAAGTTCAGTGGCTGACTTTGCTGCAAAACTTACCAACGTGTCATCTGCATACAAGCGAGGTTTGGTATAGTCGAGGCAACATGGAATGTCATTTATGTATATTATAAACAGTAATGGTCCTAATATTGAACCTTGTGGAACGCCACAAGAAATGGATCTTGGTTTAGAAATTGAGTTTTCAACTACACAACATTGCATTCTATCGTGTAAATATGATTTGAAAAATTCTAGACTTATCCCATTAATTCCATAGTATTGAAGTTTGGATATTAAGATTTGATGTGATACGGAATCAAAGGCTTTAGCTAGATCTAAGGCTACTACTAGATTAGTCAAGCCTTTGTCCATATTGACATACCATTCATTTGTTGCATCAAGCAGAGCAGTTAGAGTGGAATGTAAAGGACGAAAGCCTGACTGATATTTAGTAAAAAAATTATGAACAGCAAAATAGTGATAAAGTTGGTTAAAAACTGCCCTCTCACACAGTTTTGACAAAATAGGCAGAATAGAGATAGGCCTATAATTACTTGGATCATCTCTATCATTAGCTTTGAACAGAGGGATAACTTTCGCTGTCTTCCACCCTGATGGAAAAATCCCTAATGAAAGGGATTTGTTAACAATATTAGCTAAAGAAGCCGCAATAACTGGTGCCGCTTCTTTAAGCAATCGACATGATATATCATCTAAACCTGTCGCTTTATCTACCGGCATCTTGCTCAAGAACTTAATTACGAAATCAATAGAAATTGACTGAAAAACAAAATCTGCTTTTACTGGTCGTAGAAAGGCACGAAAATTATTAGAACTGTCTTCAAGTCTTGAAGACAAAGCTTCGCCGATATTAGAAAAATAACAATTCAGTATTTCAGCAATTTCAGCAGGATCTGTAGAAGTAGTGTTGTTAAACTTGATCTCATTAATAGAATTACTTTTAGTCTTTGCCCGACCACTGACTTGATTTATGGTTCTCCATAATGTTTTAGGATTACCACGATTGTTTTCTATATGAGAATGATAATAGGAAGCTTTAGATTTTTTTATTTCATTGGTTACCAAATTCCTAAATTTCTTATAATCATCCCAGACCTGTGGATCATCAGTTTTCTTTGCTTGGCTTTTCAAATAATTTCTATGAGTAATCATTTCTCTAACATCGCAGGTAAGCCAAGGTGATTGATTGTTTCTTACCCTACGAATTTTAATGGGCGCTTGCTCGTTAGCTATTTCAAGAAAACGTTTCTCCCAAATAACTAACATTTCACTAGGATCATTCATATCGTCTATATCCGGAAGAAAGAAAGAAAAAAAGAAAGAGAGAAAGAAAGAAAGATTGAAAGAAAGAAAGATTGAAAGAAAGAAA